GAAGTATATTTGTACTCAGAAGATCTGGGGTCTCCCAAAGTCCCAAAGCCCATCAAAACGCGATCCAAGCCCCATCAACACTCCCAAAGCCCTCGCAACTGCTTCCACTTCTCCAACCGCGCACGGCTCCCGAAGCCCGCGACATGAGAGGTGGGCCTGGAGGCCGAAAACGTGGAGCTCCAGGCTGGTCTTGGGTCCTCTTAGGTCCTCTTAGGTCCTCTTAGGCGCTCTTAGGGTCCCTTTAAAATCCCTTTAGGGTCCCCTTAGGGTCCTCTTAGGGTCCTCTTAGGTCCTCTTAGATCTTTTGGGTCCTCTTCGGGTCCTCTTAGGGTCCGCTTAGGGTCCTCTTAGGTCCTCTTAGATCTTTTGGGTCCTCTTCGGGTCCTCTTAGGCTCTTTAGGGGTCTTGTTAGGGGTCTCTTATGTAGGTGCAAGGTTCAGGTCTTCTCAAGGCTTCTCAGGAATTTGTGTATCGACTTGTGTTGTTTGGCTGAGGTGTTGGGCTTGAGGGCTGGTCTTGCCTTCTTTTTTTGGCTTGGTCTGGAGACGTGCCTTCGGGCATGGTTTCGGGGGTGCAGCGCGCTTGGTGTAAGGTTGTGTTTGGGGTTCAGGTTATGGTTTGGGGCGCGCTGCCACAACCTCCCTCCCGCCTCACACGGCCACCAACTTCAAGTTGATGCGAGTTACTGGGGAAATTTAGGGTTGAGGGTGTTTTGCGTTGATGATGGGTCCCGCGCCTCACGACCGTTGCCAAACTCGAGCAGAAACAACAGGCCCCCGTTGAATCATATCAAGCAAGTTCAACGAACACATTGTGCTCTTCCCGGAGCTTCAGAAGCTGTCGGGAGAACTGCGGTGCTTAGAAATGTGCGGAAAGTTGGGGGCGCTTAAAGCACGCGCACGTAGGCCCGCCTGCTTGCCTGCCGCATCCTGTTCTAAGTGCGTACCTGCAGCAAGGTTTAGGTTAAGGGTCTAGGGTTTGGGGTTAGGGTTTTTGAAATCAACTGTTGGGCATTGAAATCGTATTACTGTCTCAAGCCTTCGATGGAATCCTTGAGGCCCTGGTGCGCGAGTGGAGGCTGTGGTACGCCCAGAGCACCTTGCCGAGGAAACGCCCCGCGGTTTAGGCTCTCGAATTCAACGTTGTCCTACTGCAAGCTTTTCGTCAGCCTCCACAAGCCTGGCTACTAGGGTTTTGGGTTCTGCAGAATCATGAAAGGCACTTGTGTGCTAGCTGCGGCGGGGAGGCGGGAAAGTTAAGGCTTTCGACTTAATGAAAATTGTTCGTGGTTAAGGCTCAAGCATTTCGATGGTTTGGCGGTCTACGCGCTGCAAGATCCTACTTGAGCCACAGCCAGCACTCCTTAATTACATCTCCTTCCCGCAACAGGAGCCCCTAGAAATCGTTTTTACAGCCAAGAAAAGGAGAGTTGACGATGGCATCTGAGGCTACAAGCCCCAGATCGAGTTCCTCGACAACGAGGCCTGATCTGGCCGAGCCATCCCTCAGAGGGCTCCCATGAAGTGCAGTCCGATTTAGGGTCAATCCTCAATCAGAGCACCACGGGCAGCGTAGCAGGGTTAAGTCTGAGAGAGAGAGAGTTAAGCCAACTCTGGTGGTGTTTATGCAAGTGCAGTGCTGGGGTACCTCCGAGTTTGTTCAGCCCTTTGGCCCTTCACAGTCATCCCAGACCATAATTTCAATAGTGTGTAGTCGGACTCTCTCCACCACGACCTGGAACCAAGCGACAGGTCTCCCGGCTTGTGGCCATGGCGCCCAACTGCGGGCGGTTGGTGGCAAATGCCTGCCAGGTGCCCCCTCCACGCTAAGCCGAGGGCAGCTTCAGACTCCACCACTCGATATGCCCTGTTCACCTTCAATCCCCAGGCTTAAGCTTTCAGCTTCTGCCGTAGTCCATGCGCAGAAGCTGCCATATTCAGGGCTTAGGGTTTAAGTTTAGGTTCTATCCAGAGCTTTTTTCCCCTTTTCATGGATCGCGAACTGAACACGTGTGTCCTCACAAACGCTGAGAAGCCGCACAGCAGCATCAACGCCTGCACTCCACCCCTAGCCATAAGCATCATACTGGTGCCCTGAACCTTCAACCCTGTGACTCGAAAACAGCAGCGAAGGACCCATCGCCCGGCTCGACGCTCAGCGCCCCGGCGATGGCAGCGCCCCGGAGCCTCGTGCCCTGGCAGGTTGAGCCTGGGGTCTTTTCAGGCTTGCCTGGTGTAAAGCTTAGAGACTTTAGGGAGAGAGCTTTGGAGTAATTAAGGGCTTCAAGGTTTCGGGGTTGATGGATGTAGGAATGTTGGGGAGACGAACTCTCAAGCCTTAGAAGCTTTTGGCGCTTTGGGTTTAGGTCAGGTGGTTTACGGCGTACGATTTAGGGATTCGGGGCTTGAGGGTTTGGAGCTCAGGTACCTGCCTCAAACAACTCTGAACCACGACGGAATTCAAGTCCGGGGTATTGAAGCTCTTATCTTCTAAAGCCCTAAAGTCCACAGAACACCCTGCGTTGAACGAAGGCCAAGCGCTGTGAGTAGTGAGCCTGCCTTGCTCCAGAAGGCTGAAAAGGTTGAGGGTATTGGGCCGTAGGCTTTAGGGCTCTAGGGCCTTTCTCTAGCCCCCGAACCCTCAAGCGCGAGTCTTTCGGGTTAGGGGTAGCGACTATGCTCCGGATTCAGCCCTAAGAGCCTGCGAGTTCTGCGGGGGCAATCTTGTTGGCTTTTGGGATTTTGCAGCTTGGGGCTGTATATGTATGCGGGTCTTCTGTGATGGGTTCATGCTGCAACTGTGTATCCGCAGGCCCTAATGAATGGAGCGCCCTTCTCCCAAATCCTGAAGCCCAACCCTAAGCCTTTGTGTAGGGCCTGCTTGAGCTCCAGGCCCAAACCCTAACCTCGTGAGCTGAGGGTTGAGGGTCCCAGTGTTCGTGCCCAACACCAGATACCGTTAGATGGTCTTGTCTCACCCCCCAACTGCCGCAGAGCAAGCCATAGCCTTCGAGTTCCTTGGCCCCTCGAAGGGTAGTTCTATGGGCCCTTAATGTGGTCCCTTTGAAGTATGGGCTCCCGGGTTGTATGGGATATATAAGGGGTGTAGAAGGGGAACTGCCCTAAGCGCCCCATCTGCGCGGGTTCGGTAGGAAGTATAGACCATGACAGCTTCGGAGGAGCCACGCAAGCTGCGCTCTTGGGTTTAGATCCTGTCAAACTGCCGGCTAGGGCGCTTACCCAGCCATTGGTGACAACCCTCCCACCCTCACCTCTGAAGTACGCTCAGCTAAGCCGCGAGTGCAGAGCTGAAGTGAGAAGTTATGTCTTCAACCCGTCGGAACATCCCAAACCCTCTGAGCCCCTCAACGCCCCAAGGGGCCCTAAAGCCCTAAGAATTGCCAATGCACCACTCCCAACTTTTCTAAGAAGTGTCAATCGATACCGATTTAGAATCATTCGGGCTGATACTCCAAGCTGGATTTTCAACAGCATGCGCAAGAACGACAGAACATGTTAAACTTGGTCAAAACCCATCCGGCCCCCTTAGCCTTCTGAGGGGTCAAAGGCCGGCAGCTGGGGAATTGCCACAGGCAGCAGCTTGCATGGAATGACGTAGAAGCGGCGTGGAAAAGCTGCCAGGGTTTAGGGTTTAGGGTTTAGGGTTTAGGGTAAACTCTTACAAAACCCCGATAAAATCCTCGACTCCATCATAGGGCAGATTCCTCGAAGGCACCGATCAACCTGTGCCACCTCCAGTGAGGCTGAAATTGGCAAGCCGTAGGTGAAGCAAGCGTGCTCCTAGCTTCTAAGCCTAGCAGGGAACCTGGAACTTGAACCTTCCGTTGCCAACGCTCCCGAAGCCAAACCGCTGCTCTTCTCCAGGTCTGGGCCTACCAGGATTACCTTCCCATGGAGCTGGCCGCTTGGTTTACAATGGCGGGGCTCCGCTTAGCACCAGGGGCCCGTCTTTGCAAAAGGGCGTCCAGGCCAGGACCCCCCGAAGCCCTGAAAGCTGACGTAACTGCCTCAACCCCAGTCACTTCCCTGAGCTTAAGCCTCATATCTTTGGCTTGTGATCCATGGCTCGAGTTTCCCAAGCGCCAACTTTGGTGGCAGAGGCAAAGCTCACCCCCGCGCAGGTGGAGGCAGAGCGCGGGGTTGAGCTTGGGTGTTCCGCAACAAGCCTCAGCGCGCACAAGCAAGCCCTCTTCCCCCCCCTTTCCCCCAAACCCTGGAAAGCTGGTCCCCAATCCAACCCTAAACCCTGAACCCTGAACCCTGAACCCTAAGCCCTAAACCCTAAACCCTGAAGCCCCTAAACCCTGAACCCTCTAAACCCTGAACCCTCTAAACCCTAAACCCCAAACCCTGGCGTCGTTTGGCCATGCCTGCCCTTCTGCCGTGTAGCAGAACAACACCCGTACTGTAGGGCCAGGCGGTCTCTTTGAGTTAGGGTTCAGGGTTCAGGGTTCAGGGTTCAGGGTTGAGGGTTTAGGGTTTAGGGTTCAGGGTTTAGGGTTTAGGGTTTAGGGTTTAGGGCTTAGAGGTTTTGTGGCTTGGTTTGCTTGGGCACCTTCGGGACGGAGCGCGAGTGTTGCTGGGATGGTGTGGAGGGTTGGTCTTTAAAGCGGCTTTAAGGGTTCAAACTTGTTTTCGGACTCCCGGAGCCTGAGTACCGCAGTTGTAGTGCCCCCGATGCAAACAACCACTTCAAGGCACGCATGCGGACCACATTGGATGGTTAAGGGCTTCAGAATGCTGCCATTGCGTTCTACTTCCACTATGCCGGGAGAGAAAAGGGTCCTTCAGCCGTTGGGTCCCGACACAAGGCCTAGAAGCCTTCGAGACCCTAGATCCCTCACCTAGAGCCCCTCACCAAAAAAACGCAAGCCGCTGATCCCCCGGTTTAAGCCCGCGAAATCCACCGACAGGTGTGCCTCCCGCAGCAGCAGCGGCGGACGCGAAAGGAGCTCCAGAGTCGCTCCGCGGCACCCGAGTTGGTCCGTTGCCTCGGGACTTTGGAAGGGGTTGCTGTTGCGAAAAAGAGGAGGGAGCCCACGCCCTTCGAGACCCCTCTACCCTGCCTATAGTGCACCGCAGGTCAGCTGAGTCTAGCCGACGACCGGCGACTGCGGCTGCGCCGGCCCCGGTTTGGGGACAAGGGTGGGAACTCTCTAAACTTCAAATGGGTCGAACCATGTCGAACCCCACGCCCGCACCCCAAACTGTTTGGGTTTGTTTGGGGGGTTCTTCGGCCCAAACTGCTGCCTGGCCAGAACTCAAGACACCGGTTCAGCGTCACCTCCGATATGCTACAAACCCGACTTCGCATCCCAGATTCCAGGCTCTGCCTCACCTGGAACGTCGGCGCGGGCCAACCACGGCCCAATGAATCGCTGGAGGCCGTCCTTGATGAGGCGTCGGCCGAGATTTTTGTAGAATGCAAAAAGGGTTTGGGGGTGTGAGGATGAGACATCCCAAGCCCAACAGAGACCCTTCAGGGGTAGGATTTAGGCTGAACCGGCAGCACTGCAACAGGAGCCGTCACCAGACATCTGCTGTATCGGCTTCCAAGAGACGCGCCCTTCTCGGGCTTCCCAATTGGGCACGCTTCACGCAGGGCTCGCAGGTTAGGGTTTCAGGGTTGCCTGAGCCCTAAACCATGGGGATTTCGGAGACTCTGGGCTGATAGACATCGACACCGCAGAAGCCAGGGCAGCTGCTAAACCTACGGACTACGTACCAGGACCCTCGGTTTCCGAGCCGATGACGGTCGAACGGACAACTACTTCATGAGCCAAAGCCACTGTATTCCCCCATTTTTTCGGGTCTATGGTTCTGTCCAAGTCTTGTTTTAGGGCACTCTCGCTCACAAGATGTGACATAAGGCTAACTACCAGACGGCATCGGATCTCATTTCCTCAGACCCAAGTCCACTCCAAATCCCAGCAGACTGGAAAGAAGAATTGGCTCGGGGCAAGCTCTCTTTTTCTTCTTAGGATTGAAGGTGTGTATTGCTTCTTCAGATGATACTTTGCGAATCTCTTGCCCTTACAGCCTGAACCCTCCTGCTGTTGGCCTGTGTTGCAGTCACTCGGCTTAGGGAGGCAACGCCTTGTCCACAATGGCTCTGCTGTAGGCCAGACTCCAAAGGACACAAAACCCTCGTGAACGTCTTGCCGAGGGTGTCAACAAAGGTCACGTACTCAACTGCAGACTGAGAAGCTAGGGTCAGCGCCCTGAACATCCACTCCCGAAGACCAGTCTCAACCTAAACCGCAAGAAGCTACCAACACGAAGAACTCCAAGTTGGATCTCATCTGAGACCGAAACCCCCCTTGAATCGACCCCCTTAACCCTTAACCCTAAACCCTAAACTCTCAACCCTCAACCCCAACCCCCCCCTCTTTGAGAATCTCCCCAAGGTGCCAGCTTTCGGCTCGGAGGCTTCTCGTCGACGGCTCCGAGTGGAGTGCCTGGAGAGACTGGGCACGGGAGCCCAACAAGGGAAGATTGCGCGTTGTCAGGTTTTTGTTTTTTCCCCAAACAGTCTATTGTTGAGGTTCTAAGCTCATTTAAGGAGGGCTCCCTTTGTCTCCCTTTGTCTCCCTGTGTCTCTCTTCATGTGGGTGGCTTTGCCGGGTTGCTGTGCTCCTCGCCTCCCTTTGTCTCCCTTCGTCTCCCTTTGTCTCCCGTCGTCCCCACTGTTTCTTTGACGTGCCTTTGACTGTTTGGGATCTTCGGCGGTGTAATTTGTGGCCCTGAATACGCGGGGCCGCCTGATTCCAAGGACCATATGTTAGAGAAGTTTTCATCGGTTTTTCAATTTTTCATAGTTCAGGTTTTTTTTTAAAGTTCGGGTGTGTACGGTGTGTCTTTGGTGCACCCCACCTGTGGGCCTGTTTCTCCCAGGGGTGTGCTCAACCACGAAAGCCTATCAGCCTGCCCCCGATACCCACCCCCTCCCTGCGAAAGAAAAATCTACTCAAGGCGAAAGCAACGCAAAGACTAAGCCCCATTCCCCCCCCCCCCCCCCCCCCCCCCCCCGCCAAAGCAAACCCATTGAGTGGACAATCCAGGGTTGAGGGTTGAGGTTTGTTCGGTCTTATTCCTTGCTCGGTTAGGGCTTCTTCTTCTTCTTCGTCTTCTTCTTATGTTTTGAATATTGCGATTCATGGTTTTATTTTTGTTGTTTTTATGGGTTGCGTTTGGAATATGGTGTTCCTAAGCACGTAACCCAGGGGTTGGCGATTTCACGCTGAGGGGCCACAGTGAAACAAGAAAGCGCTGAACCTTCAACCGCCCGAATCCGTCACGCCTGTCTGAAAGCGCAGAAAGCAAAGCTCCGAGAGCCCTTTAGGGTTTAGGGCTTGGGGTTCAGGGTTTAGGGTTTAGGGTTTAGGGTTTAGGGTTTAGGGTTTAGGGTTTAGGGTTTAGGGTTTAGGGTTTAGGGTTTAGGGTTTCGGGCGCCTGCGAGGCCGTTCAAGGAGTGAGGGAGGCCCCGGGGGGGGTCATGGGGGGGGGGGGGGTTCAGGATCTTGGGGCTTCGCGTTGGGCTGCCTGAACCCTGAGCCCTGAACCTGCCTTCGTGATCCCAACAGAAGTTCTGAAAAATGCCAAGTGCTTCCTTGAGGATGGCTTGGCTTGGGTTTGTTGGCATGCAAAGGGGGAGCGCCGGGTTGGGGCATTTGCGTGCTTTGGCAGTTTTGAGGTTCGGCAAGGTTCCGAAGCACTTGCCCTCGAACCCTAGACCTCACCCGAAACCCCGTATCAAAAAACTCAATCTTAGGGGGGTTGGGTTGAGCCGGTTCTGAATTCACCCACTTTCTGAACTCCATCAGTTAATGAAAGGCTCTGACCTGGAGCTGAGGCTCCTCGCAGCTTTACAGATAAGGTTCGGGCGGGCATGACTTCTATTGTTTTTTTTTGTGTCGCTCTCTCTCTCTCTCTCTTATAGACCCTGAAATTTAGAGGTCTTCAGCCCGAAAAGCTTCCAGCCTCACGCGCTCGAATGCTCTTCTTGAAAGATCTCAAGCGCTCATTGTTGCAATCCGCGGCTTGCAGCTTCTGTTTCACACCAAGCCTGGTCAAAACCTAAGCACCCGGGTTTAGCACTGTTGGCGTTCTTAAGGGTCTCTGACCCTGTAAGCGGCCCCCGTCCAAAACCCAACCCTATAAACACCCTGGACCTCAACCCAAACTCCAACCCTACTGAACTAACTTAGGCTTTCCGAGCTCTCTCCCGCTGATTTTCCGTGTCTGCTCCTGCCATGGCTTCGTGTTGCGCAGCGACATGGGCTGTGCTAACTCTGGCTCTCGATCAGGTGCCGGGATGGTGCAAGAGCAACACCCGGATACCTTGTAAGACCCTTTGGATTGAAGGGTCTCCGGCTTAGGCCATTCTGGGTCCGTTGTTGCTTTTAACCCTGAACCTCGACCGCCCTGAGCCTTTTCCTCTAAGCCCCAGGCCTGGGGGGCGTCCAAGTTGCCCCCTTGGCCACGGGGAGTTCGGAGTAGAGCTTCAAGTTTCAAACGCTTTTGGCTTGGCTTCTTAGTAGCCTTCAACGACCAACGAAGTCACAAACTTGATGCACCACGATCCCACGAAGACCAAAATAGCCTCCGGTATGAACTCTGAAGCCTCAAGCCCCGAATCGGGCGAAGACGAAGGGCTCAGAATTCAGGCTTGACTGAAGCTGGGAGGAAAGGAGCCGGGTCTGGGAATACATGGGGACCACCCTCAAGACACCAAACCCCCCCAATCTTGGCGGCTAATGGCGCCTAATGGGCCCTATGCTAGATGAATATCGCTGCCGCAGCTGGGTTGCCAAGTGGAGTGCACTTGGCATTGGGGTGCTTGTGCCCGCGAACTTGAGGGGAATCGGTATATCCTACTTCTCTAGACAAGACCTTACACCCTAAACCCTAACCCTCCAACCTTACACCCAGGAACCAACAACCGTGCCAGGTGCCGCGAGCGAAACCCAACACGACGCTCCTACGACGACAGGGCTCGTTTGGGGATATAGGCTGTGAAGGATTTAGGGTTGTTGGGCTTTTAAGTTCCTGCCGGGAGTTTACGAGTTAAGGGATCAATGTGCAAACGTAGAGTTGCCCTGACCCCAAATCATGTTCTCAGGATCAGCCCTAAGCCTACAATCATCCACCCTGAGTCCCAATCCCCACGCCCCCGATCTCCAGAATCCTCAAGCCCTGCCTCATTAACGCTGAATTCGCAGCTCCCATTGTTGTGACGGGGGCGCACGATGTCTTCACTAGAGCAGCACAGAAAGTATGGGCACTACTAGCAAGCTGAGCAGTACTGGCAGCTACACAAAGGCAGCAACAGCAGCTGCACTAGTTGTGCTGCTCATCTTCTCCATCGTGGAAGCAGCATACATCGTGGTCGGCCCCCCGAAATGAGCGGCGCCAAAAACCTTCCATGAAAGAATTAGATTGAGGGTTCGCCTTTGATTGGCCCGCGTCAGCTAAAGTCCGAGGCGCGCCAGTGCGCGATAGTTTCTGCGAGAGAGCTCTGGTTACGAGAGCGCGCGATAGCGCCCGACAGGGTAGGTGTGAGAGCGCGCGATAGTCCGCGTCAGTGCAACCCCAAAAAGCACGTGCGCGTCAGCGCGCGATGCGGCCTGCAGCAGGCCGCGTCAGAGACCGCGAGAACCTTTCCAAGTCGAATGAAAAGTTCAAAGGGTTTTCGCCACTGCTCAAATGGCTACGCTTCTAAAGCCGGAAGTAGAGAATCACACCGTCCAGGCAGTGGATCTGGAGCAAATCTGGAGCAAGTGAATTTGCCCCAAGGCCCCCCCCCCCCAAACTATCTGCGAACCTCGAACCTGAAACGCTTCCAGTCTTCATGCCCATCAGGTTGTTGTCGTTTCATTTTCTTGGATGCTTTTTTCTTGATTATTTGTTTTTTTCGTTTGTTTGTGTGGTTGGTTGGCTGGCTGGTTGTTCGGTTTGTTGTTTTGTTTTGTTTTGCTTTGTTTTGTTTTTGTGTTTTGCATTGTTTTGTTTAGGTTAGTTTAGTTTTGTTTTGGTGGGTTGGTGGGTTGGTGGGTTGGTGGGTTGGTGGGTTGGTGGGTTGGTGGGTTGGTGGGTTGGTGGGTTGGTGGGTTGGTGGGTTGGTGGATTGGTGGGTTGTTGTGGTTGTTGTGGTTGTTGCGGTTGTTGGTTGTTGTGGTTGTCGTGGTGACTTCTGCTCTTGTGACCGCTCCGATACTACCGTCTTCTGAATTCTCGTCGGGAGAGTGTCGTCACCTGAGGTTTGCGTGACCTGCACAAGCCCTGTGCTGGCGGCGGACGACTTTTCCAGCTTCTTCAGCGCCACTTGGTCGACTGTTGGTCTGGGGTCTTCATGGTGTTGTAGTGTTGTGGTCCCAACGTGTTGAGCATCTGTGTCGCTTTCCATGCCAAGGCCAGGCAGGGTTTGGGGCATAGCGCTCTGCCACTTCGTGTTGTGCATCCGCGGCAGCAGTGGCTGCCCTAGGCCTTGACCCCTAGCCTTCAAGTTCTCGAGAGCCGAACTCTCAACCTCGCAAGCCTCGCAAACCTCGCAAGAGAGAAGCTTTCAGCGCCGCAGCCCCATGAGGACTGGATCATGAAGGCCTGTGCTGAGCTGTCCCGTGGCTGCCATGAAAAGGTCGGCCAAGATTGGGCCCCGAGGGCTCCTGAATCCCCCGCTTGGAACCGTAGCCTGAGAGCCCTTTGGCCCTTGAGGGTCGAGGAGCTGGAAGCTTCGCAGCTCCATACAACCTAAGCCCAAAGGCCCGAAAGTGCGTAAGGTAAGAAAGCAGCGGCTGGTGTGGGTTCACGATGATTCACGGTTCAGGGCCTAGGGTTCCGAGTCGGGCGGTAGGGTTTGGGGGTTCTGAGGGTTGAACAGCACGATTTCCCGGAGCCGCGCAGCTCGACATTCCCAAAAAATCCGAAGCCCTGAGCCGCTCTGAGCCCCCGGAACCCAACAACCCCCAGCTCTGAACAAGCAAAGGTTTTTGAGGAGACCTCGGTTTGGTCGATGTTGCAACGATGGCCTCCTCTAAAATCTTGAGCTTCGAAGCCTCCTCACCTCTAAACCCTCGGTCCCCTCCCCCCATTCGCTTGCCAAAGCCTGTGCCTGTTGACTTGCCAGCTACTAGCGAGTCTTCTTCTGCAGCTGAATCAGACACACACCGGAATCCATCTACGCCCTTAAACTCCAAGTCGCTAAGGCATTTTCTTAGCTGTTTGGCTTTCAGGCTTCCAGATTGTATGGTTTCCTCCCATAGGATTTGGGATTCATTCAGCCCGAGTGATTATGTGCCTCTGCCCCCCAAACATTCAGGATTCCTACCTGTGGGGAGTGCTCAGGCAACTGACCTGCATCTCTTCGCGTCCGCAGCTGGGCCCAGAGGAGCCAAAGGCGAATGGTGCGCTGGGGCTCAGGGTCCAGGGCTCATGGAGACGGGGGGGGTGTCTATCTGCTGTTTTTTTTTTTCCGGTTCCTGATATCGAGGATGTGAAGTTGCACGAGACCCTAGCAACCCAAATCAACCCTCCCCGCCCTGTCCCCCCCACACCTTCAACACCTTCCAGCCATGAACCATGAACCCAAAATTCCCAAAAGCCTCTGACCCCCAGCCTCGAGGGCTCCGCTAAACTTCAAATCGGCCCTAGTGAGATTGTTACCACACTTTCCGCACGATGGAGTCATATGGCTTTCTGAGCTTGACTGTGGCTGGGGCGTTGATAAAAAAAACGTATGGGCCCTGTTTGGTACCGTAGCCTACAACCTTTTCAGGAATGCACGTTTTGTTGGAGGCGCGAAAGAGAAGGGTCAAAGAATCAGGTCAGCTCGCGGCTCAAAGCACGCTCATTCTTTGCAACTGGTCCGTCCAGCGTCTGAACTGATTGTGGCGTTCAGCGGCGCCGTGCTGGTGCAAAGCCTTCACAACTGACTTACAAAAGATAGTGCTGATGCCTCTTGTTGGATTCCAGGGTCTTCTGGCTTATGGCTAACGTTGCTAAGCTCTCTGTCTGCGCAAATCCCCTAAGCGACAAGATGCCTGAAGATGTCAATGCTCATGAGTCTCAGGCTCACTCAGAGCCAGCAATAGCACCCACTTTCAGGCTTCGGCGGGATAAATTGTGGGGTGAAGTGCATAGAGATTAATTCAGGGTTCGTCGCTTTGCGGGTATAGGGCTTCGGGTTTCAGGATGTCTCAAGCCTCCGCTCGGACTCAAACCTAAACCCTAACCCTTTCTGATAGCCTCTGATCCCACCCCCCAGACCCGTAAGCCCCCCGCGGACACCCTAAGCCCTGGAGGCTCATGGAGCCAAGGGATTCAGAAACCCTAAACCCTAAACCCCTAAAAACCCTAAACCCCAAACCCCAAACCCTAAACCCTAAACCCTAAACCCTAAACCCGCAATCGCCGGTGGCCTTGCAGGCAGGCTCCCGCTTGGAGCGGGAGCTGCGCCAGGCCGTCTTGCGTAGCCGTGTGGCG